ACCATGGTGTAGGTTATAATTACTGATGAGTTCTTTTATATGAAATATTGCTTTCAAATTCCGAGTTCAAAGGCGAAGGAAGTACAACTCGATTAAATGAATATAGGGTAATGTCTATTTATTTTTTTTATCCAAACTTTTTTTTTCATGTTCTTTTATATTATCTAAAGCTATCGAAAATACTAAGAATCAATCAAATGTTAACTTCCAGTTAGTAATATTGACTTGACGCAACATGATACTGACTTGAAAGAGACACGTGAAGGTCAACATTTTAACATTTTAACTAAGAAAAAAATTACAAAATTATTAACGATAACGTAAAAATGACTAATATTGTCAGAACGCGTATCGTACATACCGGCTTTAGCTGAGATATTGAAAGTTACTGCCTTGCTGGCATGAACGGGAAAAGGAGTTTCTTCAACTTTCCGAATCGTCACAGTGTCGGTGGTTGTGTACTCTGCAAAAAAATATTTACCCATCCACTAATTAATTAACCAAAAACTAACACGTATATACACCCATCAGTATTCACAAAAAGAGTGGAGTTTGATAATAATAAAATTATGCAGCTTTAGCTTTAATAATAGTTTGCATATCAGAGACTGACCAGTGCATTTAGTGTAAGCAAGGGGGCAGGCTTGAGCTGAAGGTAAGAGGAGGAGGTGGATGGCGGCGGCGGCGGCGAGCAGGAGGAGGGAGAGTGACGAGACGGCGGCCGTCGCCATTATCGATCGGAACTTGGTGGCGGTGGAGGACCGGCGGACGAGATTATGAAAAATCGGTTTGCTAATTTGGTGGGCGAGAAAGGTTATTAACTGGAGAGGTGAGGTGGTGCAACTGAGATTTAATCATTTAACCATCCACTTAAATAGGTGAGGAGCATTCATATTATTTAAGACAAGTTGCCTGTTTATTTATCAGATTAAGATCCTGGAAATAATGCAAACAATTAATTAGTGGCTAATCTATTCGTTCCGGATTTGGATACTTGACTTCTAAGCACATGGTGGTCATGCTGGCATGCATGCATCTGCCATTAATTAATTGCTGAATTCTAGCTAGTTAGTGGTGGATTCGGAACATAGTAGAGCATTGGGTTATTGACATTGGATCGATCGAAAGAAACATAAATTACGGAAAAGCAAGCAGGTCTTGATTGATATACTAGCTCCGGATCCAAAGAACACCTCAATTGTAGCTCGAAAAGATCTCCGCTAGATCTGCCATTGTAACTAGCCTCAAAGTCTTTTAAGCGCACATGGTAATAATCAGTGGCGTAGCCAGGGTTTGAGTTTAGTGGGGTCTCATTTACGAAAAATCTTATAACATTTTATGCAATTATCAAGTAAATTTACTTAAAAAAATATTCATTCAAATAGTCATTCATCCAACCATCAGTTATTAGATTTGTACCTTACATTTTGTGTAACTCATAATTGAAAAGCAACATTTCAATAACTAGCTAAAATAAATAGTTTCCAAACAAAATCTAATACACACAAACGTTTTACACATTTGATGAAAAAGAAATTGTATATTGATAGGAGAAAATTGTTCAACTAAGAGCTTTTTAGATATAGCTGGAGGTTTTTGTACACATATTTAGTAGAATTAGAAATTTTTAGAATAAGGACTATAAAATTGGTGATTCTCAATGAAATATGATCAATATAGTCTCTCTCTCTTTTCTTTTTTTTAAATTTCAAGTTTGGTCACTAGAATTACTATAAGAATTCACGTTTGCCACTAAAATTAATTTATTTCATTCGTAGTCACTGAAATTAGTTATACAGTTCAAATTTGGTCACTCTCCGCTAGTCTCCCTTAAATTTTGCTAATGTGACAGTCAACTCTCAAACGTGCCGCTTTCCGCAACCAAGCTCTGAACAAGAATCGATACGCCATTAAGAACTATCAACTCATCATGAGTTGGATAAAATCAATCTTCAAAGTTGTCACTTGTACTCGATTGCACTGTTCTAAAATGTCAAAGGGAGATTATTACAACTTTTGTCATTATTCATTGTGTGAATGACATTATTATAATTTAGTGAGGAAAGGCAATGAAATCAAAGTTGATACAAGTTGGCATGGTGGAAGGGAGCTGATTCCATTGCATGATGTCCATCTGGCATTTGTAAACCTGTGGATCGGATATATGCATGAGAATAAGAAGAAACGAAAGCAATTCAATCAATTTATTATTATATTATAAACCATTTGGAAAATGCCAACTTTTTTTCATAGCTACTAGCTAGGTTAATTGACCGTGTTGTTTCTATAAACTAAATCGTTCGTTATATCTCTAATTAAGTTAATATTGGGGAGGATGGAGCAAGAGAAGTCAGAAATTGTTGGACAGCACCATGAAGTGGAAGTACTCATTCAAATTAAGCAAACCTTAATTAATTAACTAATCAACAAGTGGTTAAATTAATTACCTGCATGGCATGATCACTTGCTGGAAGGTTAAAAGTCTGTGTGATGGTAAAATCGCCGACAACGGTGGTCGAGCCTTGCAAGGCGTAACTTCCAACATCACCAATGTGATCGTCGTTGTAAGATCCCTTCGTTAGGGTGAGCGCAAAATGCACGGTCGCGTCCGCCGGAATAGCCACCGCTGTATAACGCGTCGAAGTTTTTTTACGTCGGTTCATGATAACAACTCGATTAAGATTTTTTTTCTTCTTAAATTTGAATTCAAACGAAGAAAATACAACTCGATTAAGAAAATAAGTGATTATAAAAAAAAAAAAAACAAATGTAAACGCACCAGCAGTAGCTGAGATGTTGAAAGTTACTGGCTTGCCGGCATGTACAGGGAAAGGAGTTACTTCAACTTTGCGAATCACCACAGTGTCGGTGGTTTCGTACTCTGCAAAATATATTATACACAACAAATAAATAACAACCCATCAATTAATTACCCAGAAATAAATACGTATATAAATCTATCATTATTGTCCAAAAGAGTACATAATTTGGACCCAACAACAACAAAAAAAAAGAGTATATACTCTAGTATAAAGTAGACTTTGATAATAAAACTATACCGATTTGATAATAGTTTACATTTATCTAATCTATCTTATATAACATAGATTTGCGACTAAATCTTACTAATAAGTTTGCTCATAATGTTGTTCAACATGGTAATACAATCTGGAAACTAAAAATATTTTGAGACTAACCCGGTGGATGAGATGACGATCTATTAAAAATGCGTAGAATGCACCCAAAAAAAATGTGAGTTTGCTTGAATTTCTCGAACTTCAGTTACATAACTAGATTGGTTGATGGACGGAGACTGACCAGTGCATTTAGTGGATTCAAGGGTGCAGGCGTGAGCTGAAGGTAAGAGGAGGAGATGGACGGCGGCGAGCAGGAGGAGGAGGAGGGAGGACGAGACGGCGGCCGTCGGCATTATTGATATTGATCTTGCGGTGCGGAGGACGGAGGAAGAAGAGATTATGAAAAATCGGTCTCCTGATTTTGGTCGATGAGAAGTGTACGTATTAATTAGATAGGTGAGGTCCTGCTAGCTGAGATTTAAAGTAACCATATATATATATAATTAAATAGGTGAGGGAACTTGTTTTAAAAGAACTTGAAGCCTCAAAATTGGGAAATGTACAGGCAATTAAGTTGCCTGTTTATTAAACAGATTAATTAAGATCCTGGGAAATGATGCAAATCAAATTGATTAATGGCTAATCTATTCGTTCAGGAATTGGGATGCTAACTTCTAAGCACATGGTTGATATGCAGCTGCCATGCATTAATTACTGAATCTAGCTTACCTAGCCTCAAAATCTTTTTTTAAACACTGGTAATTAATTAAGCCGCTGTCTGTGTCTGGTCTGTCTTCCCCTGGTCTGGTGGAAGCTTCTTGCTCTCTTTTCCCTCTATTAGGGATGGCAATGGCCGGTCGGGGACGGATAGTGCATATCCGTTACCCTACACAAAGTAGTTCGAGTTTTATCCATATCCATACCCACATAAGAAACGGGTAGAAAATTCAAACCATGCTCATACCCGTTCGGGTTTCGGGTATCCACGGTTATCCATGAATAATAGTTTCTCTTTATAACTTTAACTAATATGTTAATATTTACACGTATTCTCACGTTATGTAAGACGAAAAGTACGACAATAATTCACTAGAATGAAGACAATTAATTAAAACAACACAATTTCATAAAAATATTATATCTATATGCTAAATATAAAATAGTTTAGAGAAAATATTGATGATTTCTAGACAAAATACATATGCATGTGTATAATCGGGTGGGTTCGGGTTGGATAGCGAGAAAACCATGCCCACCCATTACTCATAATATTCGGATTCGGGTTTTACCCATACCCACTAAAAATCCTTCGGATTCGGGTTTTACCCTACCCAATTATGTCGAATTCAAGCGGATATCCACAGTTACGAATATTATTGTCATCCCTACCCTCTATTACCCTCTATTGTCTTTCTCCCTTCAGCCTCCTCCCCTGTGTTTTTTGTTTGTGTTTCTTCTTCTCTTCTGTTTCCTCCCTTCTATTCTCTCTTCTTCTCTTTTCTCCAATGAGGAGTCTCTACTACAGAATACATGGGTTAGGAAATTGTCTGGCAAGAACAAATTTGAGAGGTCTAATGCGAGTATGCGACAACAAATGCAATCTCCTCGGCTCGGGCCGGGCCGGGCTTATTTTTTAATTTCTTATTATATTGGGCTTTTCGTACGCCCAAATAGGGAGTGACACGTTGAGGACCCACCAATGTATGCAAGCTGAAATAGAATAGGCCCAGATGCCCAGTATCATTGAACTGGGTCGATATCCTTCTCTCATTAGTAAGGGGTGGGTGGGTGGGTGACAACGTGGTCAACAATAAATCGAATTGTTGGGCCGAGTTGATTATATAGTTTCAACCTTAATTTTGAACATAAAAGTGGTCAGAACTTAATTAAATAGAAATACAATTGAATTGAATCAAATCGAACCAACGGAAATCGAGTTCGAAGCTTACGCAATTTAGTTTTAATTCTTCTTGATATGAGATATAACAATATAATACAAAAAAAAATAACTATTATTTTAAAAACCTACTCATCCAACCAATAAATTCAAATGAGATGACTCTAAACTAGAGAAAGAAAAGTTTTCTTGCTTTAATATGAGCAGCCCAATTGGCATTTCTATTGACAGCGCAAAACTCAATTTTTACATGGATTTACATCAAAATTACATTATTACGAAATCATTGTTTGAAAATATATATACGTCTTTCTCTGTGTTTTCGGTACAGGTTGCAAACGATTCGACTTATGTAATAATTTTTTTATTGGTGGAGTTGGAAGCGAAGTAGCTTATACAATGACAAAGAAAAATCGTATTTCCTAAAATGGTAGGAGTTGATTTTGGTTCTTGACTTCCATCTATCTTGACTCTTGTTCTTTTCTTTTCTTTTATTTTATTTTTCTCCATCACACGGGTAATCTTTTGAGGAAATGTTTTTATCAACTGAGGTACATATGCCAAGGTTAAATCACCAATTGATACTAAATGCAAAGATTAGATGACCATTTGGTAAAAATGCCAAGGTTAAGTGACCATTTTGCATAGTCACCCCAAACTTCAACAACAAGCAAAGCAGCCAGCCAGCCAGCCACTTATTCTGCGGCCCCCACAGCACGTGGAGCGTGGGGGCTATGACCTGTCAAACAATAATTAATTTGACTGACTCAACTCGTCCTCATATTTTTCACCTTCTCTTTTTTCTTCCACTATTTGTTTTTTTGTTTTCCTTGTCTCCAAAAGCTGCCATAGAGTTACATCATCAACCGTTATATAACTAACTGTAAAATTCCTTCCCCCACAGAAGGAAACCAAAACGATTCATCATTCCTTCCTTCTAACAAATAACCGGAGGATTATTAAGTAACCATAAATAATTCAACTTCAACATGGGTTTAACTTAACCAGCTTAAGTAATTAATTAGTTGGTTAATTAGCTGATTACATACAATCAAAACTTGGAGGCAGGGAAGGAAGCAGTCGGTGGAGCACCACCACCACTAGCAGCTTGTTAAAAGAAAGGAAGAAGCATCAATGCGGTGCTTCGGGATGCGGAAAGATGACTTGTCGGCGTAGTGATGCCTTGCTACTCTGGGGGAAAGGAAAACAGTTAACAATGGCGGAATTCAGCAATTCTTTACCAAATTAGAGTGTCTTTTCAGTTGAGCAAAGCGACAGGGAAATGAAGGATGTGATGCGGAAGCTCAGGCCTCGTCTCCTCTCATGGCTCCACAGATCCGGCTCTGGTACAAGAATACCCCCTCCAATTTCGTATCTCTTTTGCTGTTTTGCTGGTTACCCATGTTAATTCTTGAAGATTCGAAGCTGGGTTTTGCGAGAAATTGTGGGAATTGGGTCTGTTTCTGGAATTTGAGTGGAGGAATCTTGATTTATGCAGGTCGGATTGCTCTGTTTGTGAAGCGATTCTCGTACAAGGAAGTGAAGAAGGCGACGGATGAGTTTCGGAGGGTGATGTACAGCAACCCAGATGGCGTTTCAGCTTACAAGGCCAAGCTTGAGGATGGGGAGGTCGTGCTGGTGAAAGAAGTGAAGTTTCTTGATCATGAGGAGAATAGTAGTGATGGTGAATTTTACAGACAAGTTCAGCTCCTGGCTCGCCTCCATCACCGCCATCTTCTTGCTGTTAGAGGCTTCTCCGCGGGGCGCAAGAGGTGCCATTTGCTTAGTTTTTGCTTTGCTGTGTAGCTTTTCAGCTGAAATGGTTGATTGAACTTGTGAGGAACAAGACTGCAGAGTCTGGTCTGCTGTATAATCGCGCATTTACCGACAGCTGAAATTTGTGGCTGTTCTTCTGTCATTTGCTGCAGGTACCTGGTGTTTGATAATATAGAGAATGGAAGCTTGAAGGAGCATCTTGATGGTAACCTACCATAGCATTTCAATGTGCAGTTGCAGACTTTCTGCCATTGTGGTCAACACTGTTGATGTTTTTTTCTCTTAACTTGGTTATGCTAGATCCTCTCAGGACTCCCTTGGATTGGAGGACAAGGTTGCAAATAGCCATTGGCGTTGCAGCAGCATTGGTAAAGCATGTTTCCTGATGGCATGACGGACAAGCTGACATGAGTCACTCAAAATTTACTTGTTTGATTGTGTATTTTTGTCTCGTAGGAGTATCTGCTGCATTTCAGTGATCCGCCAATGTACTGTGTATCCATCAGCTCCAGCAACATCATGCTCGACCAGAACTTCAACGCTAAGGTACTTACAACACGAGGCCTTCTCTGCATCAACTGCAGATTCCTAAATAGATGCTAGAATTGATCTTAGTTCCCTCTGTTGATCTGACAGGTTGCTGACATCTCCGTCCATACTTCTTCAACTAATAGCTCGGCTTTAATCCTCCAGAGTTCCGACTCGGAAGGTTCTGACGAGTTGCAGCATGAAAACATAATCTTTCAGCTAGGGTTGCTGATCCTGGAGCTGGTCACCGGACAGTCATCAGTAAAAGGGTGCACGGATTTGGTTCAGTGGATTCAAGAGTGCAGTTCCAGCAGCTCATTTCACAGGATGATAGACCCCGATCTAGGAGACCGTTACGACTCCAGTGAGCTGAGAAAGCTTCTGGCTGTAGCTAGAGTATGCATTAGATCTCGATACGAACCTAAATTTTCTATTCAGCAGATATTCAGGTACCTTCAGAAGAAGGTTGAAAACCCATATGAATTGACATATGAATAAAATCTCTTCCTTCTTCTACTACTTGCTAGCCATTATCAGAGAATGAAAACAAACGTTAAGAGAAATGATAGCGTCATGTCATTTAACTTAACAGAAGGTACAATTGATTAGCAGCATATCAAGTCCCAAAAACTTCCTCACAGACGCTATATAGAAAGACTACACCATAAAGAAGACACACTCAAGACTGAAATTCAATTCAAATAGCCAGCGAAAGCTTCAGGGTCTACTGCTGAGCACATTGCACCCTCTGAGCACCACCTGGCATCTCATCATCTTCATCATATGCCTCATTCTGAGCCTGCTGCTTCCTCCTCATCTCTTCTTCGATGTTGACATCATGCAAAGTAGTTTCTTCACACTCATCAAGCTCCATCTCAGTCAAGCCACTCGGATTCTTTGGGGGCAGAACAGCCTCAAGTGACTTCACTTGATCTGGAGTTAAGGAATCAGGGAAATCAACGGTGAAGTGGATGTAAAGCTTGCCCTTCAAGAATGGCTTCCGGTACATTGGCATTCCCTCATCGTTGACAGCCTTGAAAGAATCTGAAAATGTATAGAAATTCAATGTTAAGAAGCTGAACACAACTGTCTCACAAAGAGGAACATGATATTACATATGTTCTTGACACTCACCAGGCTTGACGACTTCCCCAGGAAGTGATTTGATCAGGAGCTGCCTGCCATCCAAGTGTGTAATAACAAATTGGAATCCACACAGGGCTTCGGTGAGGGATAGTGTGTGTTCCACAAACAAGTCATCCCCTTTTCGCTTGAACCTAGGGTGTTCCTTTTGCTGAAGGACAAAGACTATGTCACCAGTGACAGTATCAGGCTGCAAACACAAACACAATAAGTTTAGTCATCTGGAAAAGCTCAAAGAGACACTATTGAAAGCAGAAACAGAGGAATAGCAATTCTGAGACATACGGCTTCATCTGCTTCGCCAGGGAATGTGATCTTCTGATTATTCTGCATCCCCTTCTCCACTACCACTTCCAGCACCTTCTTCTCGGGGACAACTTTCTCACCCTTGCACTGAGGGCAGCGGTCCTTGTCACTAATAGATTCACCAGTTCCTCTGCATTCATTGCAAGCATGCTGCATCTGCTGAATCATTCCTGGACCTAGTTGCCTAATTGATACCTTCATACCGCTTCCTTGGCAACCAGAGCATTTCATTGAAGCTCCAGACTTTGACCCCTTGCTGCATCATACATATAAAGACATACCTTTTAGAACTCAAATTCATGGCAAGTAATGCTGTGCAAATCAACATGCAAAAAGGAACATATAACTCACCCACTGCACTTGGAGCATATCACATTCCTGGACAAGGAAAGCTTCTTGGATCTCCCAAGGTAGAGATCCTCCAAGGTAACTTTCAATGGATGAACAACATCCTCTCCCTTCCTCTGCCTCCTTCCCCTGCTGCTACCACCTACAGAATACAAACACAGAAAAGATCATTACCATCAAGACTCACCTTTTAACTTCATCATAAATTCATCACCCAACACCCATAACAAGCTATCGTACCTCCAAAACCACCACCGCCAAAGAAAGACTCAAAGATGTCAAAGGGGTTATGGCCACCGCCGCCGCCACCACCCATTCCTTCCTTGAGCGCATCCTCGCCGTACTGATCATAAATCTCTCGCTTCTCGGGATCGCTCAACACCTCGTACGCCTGGGCGAGCTCCTTGAACTACACGATCGCAATCAACAATCCACCCAATCAGTCCAATTCTAACCCTAAATCTCCAATCAAAAAAAGAGATCTCGAATTCGACCTAATTCAGAGAAAAGACACAAACAAGTCCATTACCTTCTCGGGGTCGCCACCCTTGTCGGGATGATTCTTGATCGCAGCTTTCCTGTAAGCTTTCTTCAGATCCTCCGGCGAGGCCGTCTTCGGAACTCCCAGTACCTCATAGTACCTCGTGTTATCGCTCTTCTTCGGCGCTCTCCCGAACATCTTCTCTTGTCTCTCTCACTGACTCTCGCCAACCGGCGAATCGCAACACCTCGAACGAAGATCGGGGAATTGAATCCTCCGTCGGATTCCGCCGACTGGTCTGGAGTCTGGGTTTCAAAGCTTGTGTTCTCTAACCTGCGATGCCGGGAGGCAGATGTGGGGAAGGAAGTATTTATAAAGGGATGAGATTATAGGTCGCGGTAATCCTGATGGACGGAGGAGATTTCTTGTGGCTTGGTTTTTTTCCTTTTAGGTCTTTGTTTTAAGAAGGCTCTAGAATCTAACTCCTTGCGAACTCCGAAGCTAGCTCCGTTCCTATGTGGCTTCATGTGGGCCGTAGGATTCAGGCGTTGATGACGTAGAGTGGTTCTAGATTGTTCCGTGGAATTGCTTCGTTTTGTGTCAGCCATGTAGGCTCGGGTCGGGAGAGAATTTCATTTCTTTTTCCGCCAAGGAGAAGGGAAAATAAAGACTACGAGATGGCAGAGGCCAGAGGCCCACTCGCTAGCCCGTATAAATGGCCTAATTCCGCACCAAAACCCATGGACATTGCTTCTTATTCGACTGCCCATCTTGGAACTTGGAAGTAAGAGGACTAACTCTTTTTTTTTTTCCAAGTAATCTAAAGATACAATAGTTAAATCCTTTACCCAAAATCCTTAAGTAGGGGTGGGCATTGATTTGGTTCGGTTCAAATCGAACCGAACAGGAGCACACCAGTACCCCTATTACACCAGCTAGGCAAATCGATTCCAAACCGAAATATATCTTGATCGGTTTGGTCGAACCGAGATATATATCGATTTGGTCCGATATTCATATACCCAACAAAACCGAAGCTTCTCATTCTTTCTAACTTCCCATTTTTCATAAAAGCCAACCTTGGTCAGTTGCTATCTCGTCCCAACTTCTCTCTTTCCTCTACTCCTTGCTTTTTCTCTGCATATGTCTCAGAGGTAGACATCGAGAGAAAGCAGCACCACGGTGAAGAAATCACAACAAGGGTCTCCCAGCAGGCGGCAAATCCGTCCCACCTTCTCGCCTTTTTCTTCTTCTTGCTTCGTTCTTCTTCTTCTTCTGTTTGGATTTTGATGCATGTGGGTTCTTTATGTTTGGAATTGGGTTTCTCGTCTCGAGGAGCTCAACCGAGAACAAAGGGGGCAGGGATGATGGTGATTGACAACGAAAGGGGAAAGTCACAACTCACAAGCGCTGCCAGCAGCAGCCATCGGCGATGTAGTCGCGGTCGTGCAAGGTAGTAGTAGATCTGAATCCCTCCTTCTTGAAAAATATGATTGTGTATTTGTTGTGTTTCTTTTTTCATTCGAATTTTTTCTAGACTTAGTAATCTGAGATTTTGTTCTGATTGATTTTTTGGGTTGAATGGCAGGCGATGCGAGGAGAAGAGAACAGAGAGAAGGAAAAACGGAATGGCATCGGCGACGACACATGATTTGATGGGAGTCGGCTGCTCTGCTGGCCGTTGTGGTATGGGGAGAGTGGTGAGGCAACTAGGGGTGGGATTAGGGTTACGATAAATGGTGTGGGCTAGTGAATGGGGATTGATAATGGGTGTGCTGGATTGGTGTTGATAAAGGGTGGGCTAGTGATTGGTAGAGAATGGGTTGGGGAGAGGGTGGAGAGTTAGTTAGGCTTGGGGAAGAGGGTGGCCTGGTTTAGTTTGTGGCTTATTTAATTTAATTCAGTTGATCGGTTCGGTCGGTCGGAATTCGGGTTCGGTGTGCAGAACCTGGGTTCCGAAAAAGTGGGTTTTTCCTTCCGAATTCCAAACCAAAATACAACATTTTCGGTTCGGTTTAATTTCGATTCGATTCAGGTTTACCGAACCAGATGCCCACCCCTACCCCCAAGCAACAACTAGTGAATCCACCCTACAAAATCAAAGGATGCTATCTTTACAGGGGACAGCAGCAAGGCTTGCTTTGCCACTCTATGGGAAGCCTAGTTGACAGTCCTCGGGACCGAACAAAAACGAAAAAAAAATCAAGAACAAGAACTCATCAACTAAAGACAATCACGAGGCAAGGGTCCGCCCACCGAGTCTTCACAGCAACTACCGTCAAGTTGCCGAATGGCCACTGTAGCATCACCTTCAATAATGACATGGGGGAGATTGCAGGAGTGCACTAAAGAAATGGCATCCCTGGCAGCTAGCAGCTCTGCAAGATAGGGATTCGAAACTCCTGAATTAAGGAACCCCATGGCCAAAAAGACTTGCCCATCCGTCCCTCGAACGACAAGGTCAGACGAGCATCCTAAGTCGCGAACAACAGCGTCAAAGTTGATTTTGAGAAATCCTTCAGGAGATCCAACCCATACGAAAAGACGGGATGGCTGGAGGCGAGGCGATGGGATCTGCGTGTGGAAGGAGACTGAGGAATATTCATGGACTTGGAAAAAGAATTGACGGGTAAGGGAACTGGCTAGTGGTTGAGTAAATTCAAAGACCACTTTATTTCTAGATTTCCAAATTCTCCAGAGAAGACAAATGCAGGGGAGATAGTGGATTTGAAAGTTTTCTGAAATCATAACATATCGCCACCAGATACCAAAATTTTCAGTTGGGGCGGAGAGAAGTAAACTACTTAATCCCACCATAGTCCAGAGATGAAGAGCAAGAGGACAATGGAAAAATAGATGTTCGATACTCTCTTGGCTATCCCAACAGACTGGGCAACGAATAGGGCAGTTAATTCCCCGGGATCTAAGAGCCACCATAGTTGGCAAAATTACTTTCGAACATTGCCATATAAAGAATTTGAGTTTTGGTGGGACATCAAGTGCCCAAGTTTTTTTCCAAATAGGATGGTCTATAATAGGGGCCACTGATTTTCGAGTAAGAGCCAAGATATTTTCCAAGGCAAGATAGTATCCTGTTTTTACTAAATAAGCACCATTTTTTGTGAAGTGCCAAATTAGCTTATCTTGTTGTGGTAGAATAGGAACAACCATTATACAAATGAGATCAACTGAATCTTTCTCAAACCAATATCTTAATCTCAGGACATTACATTCCCTTAGTCATTCTCTAATGAAGAAAGATACCCTCATACTGTTATTGCTCTCTTGCTGCCTTAGTTTTGGTGGACAGGGTTTATCAACTAATAACCAATTATCTTTGAAAGCATCTATATCCTTTCCATCGCCCACCTGCCAACGCAATCCTCGAATGAGGAGGTCCCGTACTAAAATACTTCTCCACCCCCAAGATGGGTTAGAGCCAATGGAGGCTTTCAATATCATACTTTGGTTGAAATACCTTCCTTTATACACTCGACTAAGGAGTGAGTCAGGATTCGACCATATGCGCCAGCAAATCTTAGCTAACAGAGCTTGATTGAAAGCCGTGAAATCCCTAAAACCAAGGCCTCCGTGAAACTTAATTTTGGAGAGACCTTTCCATGATATCCAATGAATTGGATAATCAAAATTATGAGCGGATCCCCACCAAAACCTTGCAATAAGCCCATTTAATCATCCACAAGCATCAACTAGGAACTTAAAACAAGTCATACCATGGACCGGTATATAAGTTGTTGAAGTCCTAATTAGAGTGTCTTTAGCCGCCTTGGAAAGGGTACGTTGTTTCCAACCTTGCAACTTCTTGCACATCTTTTCCTCAATATAAAGAAAAGTATCCTTTTTGGTTCTTGGTATTAAGGAGGGTAGGCCTAGATAAGAATCTTTATCTCCTATAGCACCAACTCCCAACTGGGCTCCCATGAAATTTGCGTCTTCACTCTTAGTATTTTTACTAAATAGAATTGTCAATTTGGAGAGATTGACTTTCTAACCACTTAGTGGTCCTTCATAAACCTGAAGTAAGGACAAGAGGGTCGTACAAGAGGCCTGAGATGCTTGCATGAAAAGGTAGGAGTCGTCAACAAATAAAACATGAGAAATCATAAGACAGCTCTGACGTGTCCGAACACCTTCCAAGAAACCATGGTTACTGCTTGATTTATCATAGATGAAAATCCTTCCGTGCATATAGCAAACAGCAGAGATGAGAGTGGATCCCCTTGTCGTAAACCTCTAGAAGGTTTAAAGTATTCTGAAGGGGAACCATTAATGAGAATGGAATAGGAAAGAGTAGTGACACATTCTTTGATCCATGTCATGAATTGGCTATTGAATCATAATTCCTTCATCATTTAGAATAGAAAAGGTCACTCTATACAATCATAAGCCTTCTTCATATCAAGCTTTGAGGCCATCAAAGATTTCGATTATGAGTATAGAGTTTTGATATGATGAGTGATCTCATGACTGATCATGATATTATCTGTGATCCGGCAATCCTTGATGAAACCATTTTGAGTTGGAGAAATGACTGAGGGTAAAACTTTACTAAGTCTATTGGCCAGGATCTTGGAGATAATCTTATAGAAACCTGGCAAAGACTAATAGGTATGAGATTTTTCATAGTACGAACCTCCGATACTTTTGGAACTATGGAAATCCAAGTCCGATTAAAACTTCTCAACAATCTTCAGAGTGAAAGAATGTTAGAACTGCCTGGGTAACATCTTGACCAGCATATGACCAATAGTGTTGGAAGAAGCCGGCGGTGAATCCATTCGGACCTGGAGCTTGGGTCTTACCCAGACTAAAGACCGCTTTTTTAATTTCCTCCGCGGTGATCGACGCTATTCGCCCAAGGTTTTGTTCTTCTGAAAGGGTGTTTGTAAATACGAGGTTTGAGAGACTAATCCCATCCATATTTTGACTTTGGAAGAGCTCTTGGTATAACTTTTTGGCAATGCCACATTTTTCTACTTCTGAAGTATACCAGTTTCCTCTTTCATCCTCAAGTCCCCATATTATGTTATTTTGATGGCGGGAAGAGGTAACCAAATGAAAGTAGGTTGTCTTCATATCCCCTACTTTTAACCAGTTAGTACGGGATTTCTGCTTCCAATAATATAAATGCAAAGACTAACTAGAGATAGCAAAGATTTGGTAAACAAATCAACAATATGATTGTGACTGTCAGGGGATATATGTGAATCTAACAAGAGGCTAAGAACACAATAGTCAATAGTAGACTGACGTTGATATGGAAAAAGTATGTCCGGTCACTATGCGTAAAATGATTGAGTTACTAATGAGGAAGACCAGAGCA